CGACCGCCGGGAGAGAGATGACGACGACCTGGCGGAGGACAGGGACGAGGAGATTTGAGAGAGGAGAGAGGAGAGATGAGAAGGACGAGAGAGAGAGAGAGAGAGAGAGAGCAGACGCAGAGACCGACGGAGAGAGGGGTTGGAGTATCGAGAGAGAGAGAGAGGAGGAGAGAAGAGAGGAGAGAGAGCAGAGAGAGACGAGAGAGAAGAGAAAGAAGAGATGAAGAGAGAGAGAGAGAGAGAGAGAGAGAGAGAGAGAGAAAGATAAATAGTATACTAAGTAGAGAAAAATAAAAAAAATACATATAGCACGAGAAATAAATACATGAGAAAATACATTGTATAGAATTAATACATTTATTACGCAAACTGTCCGAGAAACTAAGTGACATTCTAAAAAGAACATGCAAATTATAAAAGATCCTGGAGGTGTTGAGGGAGGGAGATAGGAGGACAGGTGATGGGGTGGGAGGGGATGGAGAGGGAGGCGGGAGGAAGACAACTCCATATGGACAACTCCCTCTAACAGGGCCGAAGCAGAACCGAAGTCAGTGTGTATCGGCGGCGCTAGTATCGGAAATTTCTCTATGCGCGCGCGAATTCGCGCATGACATGAACACGTGATATTTAGCAGTTTTTGGTACCTCATCAACGTCAACGATTCCTTTGACAAGTTTTTGCAGAAAATGTATCAATATTTGTGGAATGACGTAAGTTAGAAGTGGTAATTTCATCTGTCAGCAATTGTACGGTCAGTTAGTCTGATGCATTCAACATTGTTGTCTGTTATTGTTACTGTTGTCACTGCATGTCAGTGTTGATCAGGCCGGCCCCATCGTGGTATCGATGGAGAGCATGCATTGATGGTAGGATATCGATGGAGAGCATTGCAGAAGCATCGCGATCGCGTTGCCTTTGCTTTTGTAGAAACAAGCAGTCGGTCTGATTAAATCGAGCAATCATGGCTGGTCGTTGATATATAAAGTAGTATAAATATTTTTACTTTTACGATGTTACGTAATTGGACTGAAACTGTTCATTAGATTGAAACTATTTTATTACGTTAAATTGTTTTCGGTTCTTATATTTATTTATGTACTCTGACTGAGTTTGTCCTCAGGCGATGGTCGATTGTGGCCATCCGGCACATCAGTCATTATTGGTTTCAACGTTGACTGTAGTTTCGGTTTCACTTGTTTAGGATACTGCCACTGCAAATATTGGTGCTGTCACTGTTATTGACCATAATTGTGTTATATAGTCTTGTGTACGATTGATGATATTTTTCAATAAAATTCAAATGAACAGTCAAAATGCACTGATGAGTGATGCAATTAATAATCCTCTTCAAAGAAATGTGGATACATTATTACATGGTCAATATACCAGTCACTTTCCCAAAACACACCACATTAGTGATTAGATGATTATATAGTGGCTTTACCCTCCTCTCCAGTCAAAATGGATTAGCTCTGCTCCTGTAATGTAAGCTGGTCCAATCCTACTCAATTAAGAACACTAGGTGCAATATCCGCAGTGTTGATCTATCGATATGATCCACTTTTCTCTCTGTCTTCGTTATAATCCCTAGGACTTTTGAAGACTAATATTCATGAGGTTATGAAGTAACAATTGTTAGGTTTATGTCAGGGTACTGATGGCCTGGCATACCCGGCCTTAATTGGTTCTTTGATTATATTCTAACAGTCTTGTTAGAGGATATAGTTATAGGAGAGTGAGTGTGATAGCAAATGACTGGTAGAGGGAACAGTGGAGGAAAAGAGGGAGGGATTGAATGAGAACATATTTTCCAAATGAGATGCGATGAGAATCTAATGTGATTAGTGTAAACAATTACCATCTCGAATGTAGAAATGAAAGAATCAATGCATATACTTGCTACAGGTCTTGCTAGTAAATCACTAAGATGGATAGTGACAGTCTTCCAGATATGGCATGGACACACTCCAAATTTAGCAGTGGTTCCTATGCACGCCAACTGCCAGCCCTGGCAGCTTCTTCAGCAGTAGGACCGGTATGAGGATTGTGTGTGATTGTTATTTTTTTATGTCCAAGTTAACATTCAAGTGAACAGTTCCATATGGTGTATTATTTGTGAAATAATCTGTTATCTCTCTGTATCTTTCTCTCTCTCTTGATGTTTCTTCATGAGCTTTTCTTTTTTCCATCTACTCTCCACATCCCACTCTTCACCTGATCACTGCTTCCCATATGTCTCTTTGTTTCTCTCCCTCTTTCTCCCTATATCTTCTTATAATCCACTGTTTAGGTTCTGTGTTTTGATGTTCACAGCATATAAATACGATATAATTTCATACCACTGTATTGATGCCACGATGGCACAGTACAATCAAAGTAGAGAAAAATAAATAAGGTTCTATTTGTACCTTTGATAAATCTTGCCCATGGTTATTTAATCAGGGTTTCTTATACATAAGAGGCAGAGTGGCGCACCGCCGTTGTCAAATTTAACATTGCCATTGTGGAAATGTTCCTGTATTTACCCGCCATTGCCAAAACAGGGTAACCCCAAAAATAAATAGATCGCCGCGTGCTTCTGGCACATTTAGATTGGTATGTGCATTTATTGAGTCATTAGATGCGGGGTCTACACTTTTCCGTTATTTCGTTTGAATCCATCATGCGTGTTTTTTCCCAAACTGGCCATTAATTACTTCCTTTGTCTAATTTTCCCTCAGAAGAAACCCTGTTAATAGTGTTGTAGTTATCTTGGGATGTCACCAAGTAGTATATTAAAAATGATTCAAGTGGTCACTGTTCATGCTCAAGTGCAAATTTAATTTCCTTTTTCAAGATTTCGTCTGGATTGAACTTGTCAGCACAAGTCATTACCGAGAGCATCCGCACATTGGTATCGAATTCTGTTGCGTTGTCAGAGGAGCCAATAATACATGGTGAAACATATGCCTCTAATAGTGCTAGTACAGCAATGAACAAGTATTTGGAATGGATCAGGTATAAGGAACCCATGGATGTTAACAACAACAGCTCTGCTGGTTCTAGCAGGTCATTTGTCTTAGTGGAGAATACATTAATAGCTCAAGGGAACAGTACTGACAGCAGCAATCGGGTTGCTGAGCAAGTCCTCTCTGATTCACCAACAGTTTTAGACTCGAACGTGGTCGCTGACCTTACCAGTGTACATGGTGGAGAACGCCAACAGCCCGTAGTGCTCACTGGAGCATTGAGTGCAGCCGAACATGAGCTTTCTATGGAGATCTCACAGAATGCACTCTTGAAAAAAAAAAAGAACATGCTTCAGAGTCCGAGGAAACGACGTAGGTGCACCAGGACAGACACACCTGCAAGTGAGGTAAACGTGATGTGGAGAAGACAGTCATCCAGGTTAGTGAACCAAAGAGTTAAGAAGGAATTAACAGAAGCAAGCTCCATAGATAACTGTGCAGCTGCTTTATCGGGAAATGAAGGGCCGTGGAAAAGACAGAGTGATGTTGCTTTAGGTGAGAACTGGAGTTTAACGGTGATTAACGACACCAGACCAGAAGAATGCGAGGCCAAATCAAAATCTGTTATGGCTAGGCAGGAGGCAGAGACAAAGATTGGTGAAGGATCTACGATGACAGAAGTCTTGATGGCAGAATCTGTGCCACAGAAGACATACATGAACGTTGGCAGGGCAGCTAAAGGAAATGTCAGAGTTTGCAGTGAAGTGGCAAAAGATGACATGAAAGAGGTAGCAAACGAAAATTTAACAGTGTGCATACCAACAAATGGTCAGAGCAATAGTGAGAATTTGGATTGTTATTCTGTTGCCGGTTACTGTGAGAATTTCCAAACCATGGACATTGACAACAACAGTTGTGCTGGGTTCAGCGGGTTATTGGCTATAGTGGAGAATACATTAACATCTCAAGGGAACATTACTGAAGGCAGCAGTCAGGTTGTTGAGCAAGTCCTCTCTGATTCACCAACAGTTTCAGACTCAAATGTGGTCGCTGATTTTACCAGTGTACATAGTGGAGAGTGCCAACAGCCTGTAGTAGGCACTAGTCCTGTGGCACAAAAATGCGTAACTGATATGGAAGCAAGTCCGAAAAAAAGTGAACCCTATCTGAAAACCAGAGGTGAGGATATTGAGGCAAGGCCGATGATGCTCACTGGAGGATTGGATGAACCCGAAGCTGAGCTTTCTATGGAGGTCTCACAGAGTGTACCTTCGAAAAAAAGAAAGATGATGCGTCAGAGTCCGAGGAAACGACGTAGGTGCACCAGGACAGACACACCTGCAAGTGAGGTAAACGTGATGTGGAGAAGACAGTCATCCAGGTTAGTGAACCAAAGAGTTAAGAAGGAATTAACAGAAGCAAGCTCCATAGATAACTGTGCAGCTGCTTTTTTGGGAAATGAAGAGCAATGGAAAAGACAGAGTGATGTTGCTTCGGGTTCGGACTGGAGTTTAACGGTGATTAACGACACCAGACCAGAAGAATGCGAGGTCAAATCAAAATCTGTTATGGCTAGGCAGGAGGCAGAGACAAAGATTGATGAAGGATCTACGATGACAGAAATCATGATGGCGGAATCTGTGTCGCGGAAGACGTACATGAACGTTGGCAATGCGGCTAAAAGAAATGTCAACGTTTGCAGTGGCATGGCAACAGATGAGTTGGAACAAGTGCAACATGAAAGTTCAACAGTGTGCATACTGAAAAAGGATCATTGCAGGAAGGATAATTTGACAGTGATAGATGAGACTGCTAGACAAGTGGTTGGGATGAGCGAGGCAGAAGATGACCAGATATGTGAACTTGATCCCCGTCAACTAGATTGCGTTTTCTATGTCAGAGGCATGTACGGAGATGAGTCATCCGACAAATTACCTGATGGCCCTCCCAGATGTTCAGACGTTTGTGACAGTTATGTAGAGTGGGTTCCCATTGCTCATCAAGAAGGGAGTCAATTGCCCATGTTATCTGCTTCTGTCAAATGTGCTAAATTGCCACAACAGGTGCAAAGAAGTGATGAAGGGGCAAGCAAACATGGCAGAGCAGGGAATCTGGGAGAAGGTATTGAGCCTGAAGGAAATAGCGTACTGTCCTCGCCTAGTCTACCCGTACCGGATGGTGGCATTTCTGAATGGAGGTACCAGGTGAATACTCTTATTGAAGACTGTGGCATAGCTGATCAGTCATGCTTAGATGTTGCTCAGAGAGCGACAGTTGGCAAATTGTTTGACTATGAAACAGAAGAGTTCTCTTCTCAGGAGGATGTTGTCGCACCAGATATATCAACTACTGAACTATTGCCAAATGAGTTCAACCTGGTTAGTACAGTTAGTGTAGGGCCAGATGTGGATCTCACCAGTGCAAATCTAATAGGATGCCCTGAAATCACATCAGAAGAAGGTGATGCTGTACATCTAGAACAACACCACGTGGATGGTGGCAGAGAAGGTAGTGAGAACCCATTAATGATGCACACAGTTGAAGCATTTACCAGTGACAAAATTAAATCTCTCTTCAATGATGCTAACTCAATGTGCATGGAAGCTAACGAGCAAGGTGATTGGCTATTTAGCAGGCAGGATGTCAGCGCTCATCATACTGATACCATAGAGCTCACTCCAGAAGAAGTTTCTTCTGTAGGCGCTAACTCTTCTGAATTGGTGAACCTACAAAGGTCTCTCTCACAAGATTATAATGATTTTGATAGTTCATGCCCGCTGGCGAACTCTAAGATCAACCCAGACAGCTGCGACTGGGAGATCACCGATGACAATTCTACCTGTCATGAGAAACACGGCGTCTACATTTTAGATGATGACCAAACAGACCAATCATCTTTAGTAAGTTCATTTTCTGAAACCATGAATCTTTTAAAGTCTCTGACGGAAAATAGTATTCAGACACGTGATGCTACACATGCTCTGTTTTTTTCTGAGAGCGAGGTAGCCAGAAATCCTCTGTCACAGGGAGTTCCTATTGAATCATCTCATGAAGGGCACCATGTCAATACCAGATATGTATTTTGTGCTCAAGATATAGAAAGTGCAGTTGAGACGGCCTACAGAAGGCCACCTCACCCTGTTTTGTCAACTGTAGCCATGGTAACTTGCCAGGACCTAGAACAGTCGGATGCGGCAACTGTCACCATGTCACCCTCACAGGACACAGAACACTGTGATGTGTCAAGTGTCACCATGTTAACCTCCCAGGACACCGAACAGTCTCATGTGACAACTGTCACCATATTAACCTCCCAGGACACAGAACAGTCTGATGTTACAAATGTCACCATGTTAACCTCCCAGGACACAGAACAGCCTGATGTGTCAAGTGTTAACAAGTTAACCCCCCAGGACACAGAACAGTCTGATGTAACAACTGTCGCCATGTTAACCTATCAGGACACAGAACAGTCTGATGTGTCAAGTGTTAACAAGTTAACCCCCCAGGACACAGGACAGCCTAATGTGACAACTGTCACTATGTTAACCTCCCAGGACACAGAAAAGTCTGATGTGACAACTGTCACTATGTTAACCCCCCAGGACAAAGAGCAGTCTGATGTTACAGGTGTTACTAAGTTAATCTCACAGGACACAGAAATGCCTGATGTGACAACTGTCACCATGTTAACCTCCCAGGACACAGAACAGTCTCATGTGTCAAGTGTTAACAAGTTGACCTCCCAAGACACAGAACAGCCAAATATGTCTCCTGTCACTTCGTTTACCTCTAAACCTCTGCAACAGTCCAATATAGATTGTATCAGTATAGTTACATCTGAATTCCAAGAACAGCCTGATACCGCCAGTATGAGGATATTTGCCTCTCAGGACCGGGAAGAGTCGGGCAGTGTCTGTTTCAGTAGGGATGGGTCGCAATGTTTGACAGAGTCGAGTACATCAAGCTGTCATGGTAGTTCTCTTGTTTGGTCACCCAGCGTCGTATCAACTATCAGAGGCACTTTACATCGTGACATATTGACCGAGCATAATGATGTCAGTTTTATCAAGGGCAGTGAAGTGTGTGATGCTGTGGCAAAAGGAGAAAGCTTACACCTTGGCTCATATGGTGCTTTAGAAAAGAGTGTGAATGACGAAATGGAAAGGGAAAGTGAGAGGGAAAGTAGCATAAGTGGCAGTAGGCGTGAAGAGGTCACGTCTCCTGAATGCATACAAGTTCAGCAACAAGAGGACGATGCTAGTGATAGTATCAGTGAAGAAACAAACACTGCTGAAGTACCTGATTTCAAACGAGTATTGGCTGCTAGCCAAATAGGGGTACACGATGGGGGTCATTGTGGTGTTTCATTGCCATTACGGGATAGTGCTTTAAACCGAGTCACAGAGAATAATAGCGATGGTGAACCATTAGGGAATACGCATTTTCTCTGTGAAAGGGTAGATGAGGGAAGTGTTTGGCTCACTCCTAGAGGTGACATAAATCATGCAGCTGGACATAACTCGGATACATGGTGGAGTTTTGCCAGTAGTAGTGTCTGTAGTACTGGCCTTGTAGTTGATCAGAAAAATTCACTCATGGGTTGCAATACTGATCAATCACATATACAACATGTGATTCCCACGAGAGGCACCGATTTAAATCATGATATCGCATTAGGAAACATAATTAATGTTGAGTCAGGCTTAAACACGCTTCCAATGGACAAACAGAAAGATATAATGCTATCTCTGTGGGAGGGTGAGGGAAATAAATCGCACATAGAAAATGGTGAAGAAGCATCAACGTGTGTGACTGCTACAAGATCCACTATGGGAGAAACGAACAGTGAGATTGTAAAATATGATGCCAAAGGCACAGTTACAACTGATAAGGTTGAAGAATCATCGATTTCACAATCAATGTTGAAACAGTTGCCTCTTCCGACCACGTCGCCAGCATTGTCGGATATAATTTACGCAAGCGAATATGCGGAAGGGGGAGTTGCGAAGTGGTATTCTGTAAACTTGTGTCATCATGATCTGACAGACACTTCTGATGACTGCAAAGCTGCACACGAAAGAGGGTGTGAACAAGTTGACAGCTGTAACGTGGTCCGGCAGCTATCATTTGACCAGGAAGAAAGTGCAGGTTCTGTTTGTGATACGACACAGGATAGCCTGTCTGACGTCACACCGTCTGAAGTATTGTTGATACAAGCATCGTGTGAGAGTGGTGCTCAGAATGTACCTGTTGGCAGTGACGAAGCTACTGTCTCGGGTAGTGCAGATGTTACTTGTCAGAAATCGAAGTCTGCTGGTAGGGATTCGAGAACGGTTACACGGCCAGGAAACAAAGCACCCCTATTTACTCCGAAAAAGTCGACGCAACCTAACGAAACGAAATGCAACAAGAGAAGCGTTGATGACATCGTTTTGCCACTTGCCAAAAGACGATACTCCTCTCTCGATATGAATCCGCCTTGTACTCCATGTGCAGTGTCAACCCCGTTCAGTGACCCAAGTAACCTGAATGATGTGGAGCCAGGGGACTATTTAATGGAGATGGTAGAATCTCCAAGAAGGATCACGCGAGCAATGTTGGCAGCAGCACGACCGAAACTGGTGACAAAATCGCCATGTATATCCCATAAGCACGTCTCAGTGGCGGCTGCCACGGGTGTACGCTCAAGAAGCGAAGACACCACCACGCTGGCACCCTCTGTCGCAAAAGTCGGAAGTCCTGCAAAGTCTCTCTCACCAAGTGCTTCCATTCGGCCCTTGAGCCCTCACTGGATAAGGTCCACGTCTAGCAGCATTGAATCAGACGTGGAGAGCACAGTCTCTCCAAAGGCATGTCTTGCACCTAATACGATAGCTACCCCGCCGAAGAAGATAAGTGAACAAATGTCGGCAAGCGCGTTACGGTACAAGGGAGTGGAGAGCTCTTCTGCTCATGTACCACCTAGTACACCGGTAAGTTATTCAGCATTTGCCTAACTCTCGGTCACTCTTATTTTAAGTTCAAGAAATAGTAGTTTTTAGAGCATGCAGCTTTTGTAAACTTCAAGGCACTCTTTTCTAATTTTAGCATGGTAAAGAGTAATTCACATAAATATAGAACTTTTTACATTCATAGGTGATATAGTTCTCTTTAATTCCCGTATAATCACCTGTTATGCAGGCCAATATAAATGTTGGAGCATTCATATGGGCGAAGTTGGGGTCTCACCCATGGTGGCCGGCATTGGTGGTGAGCCACAGAGACTGTGCACAGTGTCCTGCTAGATTCAACTCTACCTGGGTGTACTGGTTTGGTGATCACAATGTCTCGGAGGTAATCTGGATACTTTGTGGAATGAGTAACAGCTTGAGCAATGAAATGAGTATTGTCTATATTGTAAAACCCTCTATTGAATTACTAAGTTACTCAGTTTAGCGTGATGTTGCATGTGTGCAATTTTATTTATGTATGGTAAATATTCCATAGACTTGTATTCTTTGCAGATGCCTTGCTACAAGCTGTCGGACTTTGTGTCCGATTTTCAGTTCAAGTACTCTAGGACGATAAAGAGACATTATCATCAGTCAATAGATGAAATCCTGCAGGTTAGACAAGTACTTGTTCATTGTGTGACTGCTATCCTTCTGCCACATATTTACCAGGGAGCCATTGTCAGAAACAAAATTAGTCTTAGCATTAACTAACTCGTAGACCGTTGACAGAAACATCGTGAAGTTACGAGAATGGAAAACCCTAGCAATTTTCCTTCTTAACATTACGAGATCCTAAACCCTCTCGTCACTTTAAAATAGGATGAAAATAATGCAATTACACGAAGAAATATAATTATAGTGATAGTATATTATATATTAATTAGTAAAACGTGTTAGAAATACTACTTGTCCACGATTGTGTACCAAAGTAAACATTTACAAGTGATGATTGTTCTCATGCTTTGGATATTTTGACTATAGTCATGACACTCACGTTTTGTGTTGCTGTGCAGAATAAGAACGTGCTTATGACGTTTTTCCATCGATTAATATTTATATGTGATTAACTATTGTAATATGCATGAATTCCTGTCATGTACAATGAATGTATATATATGAATTTGAGATTTGTGATCGATTCTCATCCAAACGGCAGCCTTGTCGTGGCAAATTATAAAGTTCCTATCATCTTAAGTTTTCTCAATGCTTTGATGCATTTTTGTCAATGCTATTTTTGTAATATTTGTATTAGGCATAAATGTGATTTAATTGTTAGCATTAACATTAGCCTCGACTTAATTATGTTTCTGCCAACGAGCCCCAGATATCGATAAATATATAATATATAATATTATATATATCGATAATCGGTTTATATTGATCTTCGCTAATTTTATAATGAATTAAACTTAAACAACTTGTATTGTGTTTTAGGCATGCAAGTTGAGAGTTACCTCACCAGACACCACTTTAGATGAAGATAACCTCATTGAATGGGCTGAAGGATCCTTTGGCGGATTGGATTCTTCGTCCTTTGATCCACCATCAGGTAGCTATTTCAGTTTCAGTTTTACATTCCATCGTAGTCTATTTAATGTTGCTGCATGCAACACAAATGGAAGCAACTATTTGGGACAGGTAAATTAACGTTCAGGTTGCATGCATCTCGGATCTAAACATTTTCCCACATTTCAGTCTTGGTTTAATTAGTGTATGGCGGCAAAGACCATGATTGCCTGGTTTTAGGATCGATGGCAGTACCTGCTAGTGTTCAGCCATACCTGACGTTGGTCCGTGAGAAGGCTGATGATAGCCGTGGAAGGTGCACCGAATCCGCCAAGGACGAGTGCATGACTGAGGAGGACATTCAACTCCTTGAGAGGATTCGTAATGGAGATATGTCAATAGAAGGTATAGTGTAAACAGGAATGATGATATAAATTCAAACTTGTGTTGTAACCGGAATAATCTTTAATAACTCATACAGTGTAGACAGATCGCACAAAGAGACAAAGAACGCGCATACGCGCGTGTGCCTCCTTCCGCGACCAGAACCAGAATCCCCCGACTCCTACATCCAGGGTTCGTAGCGGGTCTTCCAAAGTCTTATAAGTACTTATTTAGACAATCGCTATCAATAGAGACAAAGAACGCGCATAGCGCGTGTGCCTCCTTCCGCGACCAGAACCAGAATCCCCCGACTCCTACATCCAGGGTTCGTAGCGGTCTTCAAAGTCTTATAAGTACTTATTTGGCAAACATAAAATAAGGGCCCTATATAGTACTTTATTTTTAGCTCATCTGACATATGTCAGATGCAGCTTGTAGATCGCATGATCGTCCGTGCGTCCGGTCGTCAACAGTTGGCACAAATCTTAACGCTCGAAGTCGGTCACCGATATTCGGACGTGGGGGGGTAACGAAAACGATGTTGGGATGTCGAAGCTGTGGGTCAAAGGTCAAAGGTCAAGAGGTGTAAAAGAAGGTGGGAACCATTCACTCCTTAACTTAAGGGTATTAGGGAGGAAATGCAGAATTGCGGCACAAATCTTAAAGACGGCTCGATCTAGGCTCGTGATAGTCGTGTATAGCATCATGGTAGGAAAAGCCATCACTGCCTGCCGAAATTGGAGTCACAGGGTCAAAATGTCAATGGGGCACAGGGCAGATTTATACTTATTTCTGAGGACATGTCTGACGGAGCCCGATTGAAAATTTTTTAGTCTTCAGCCGGTGACTAGCATTTTTATGGCTTTATTGAAGGAACCATGAAATGTCCCTTCTGCTGACATGGCGAATGAAGTAAGTGTCGGATAACCTTATGACCCTCAAGAGGAGGGTTTAACTTGTATTTGATTGACTGTCCGTGTTAGAAAGAATTGACTGCCGTACGGTTTGGCTAGTAGAATCTATACATGCCTGGATGTAATGAGCTACAACTGTCCACATTGTGGAAATTTCAAAGCTAAATTTGCGTTAAAAGAAGGTGGTATGTTACCTTAAATCGTATAATTTCTATGTCATTGCTGTACTGCTCAGTATGTTACATGTACGTTATTGCAGCTGCGAGTGGCTGCTGCCAGTGGCATGTGTTGGTGCGTTTTTGCCGATGGCGTTAATTGTTACAGTGTGCAGCTCTGCTATGGCATATTTGGCAGCCTGCTAGGCTTGCGTAGGTAAATGGATGAGTGCTTACACTATTCTGTTTCTGCAATACGTTGTTGCTACTATCGTATGATGGGAGCTTCATCTTTAATCGAAGACACTTAAACGTTACGCGGCCATCGTTCGTTGGCAAACTTTCATAACGAATCCCAACGAACAATTCTTTGAAGTCCTGATACCATCCATGTGGCATTCACTGTTTCGGCGTGTATGCGAACAATTTGGGACTAACAGGGTTGGTACTAGAATCCCACCACTCCACCACAGAGTCCGCAGTAGACGTTAGATGAGGCGCTGTCCTTGTCTGCGGCACTTGTTTGTGAAATCTTAGAAAAGTAATTAATAGTCCTTATTTTTTGCCAAGGACCAATTTTCAACATTTCTGTGTTTGAATTTCGGCGAAACAGGCTGTGCAATGTGTATATAAATATTATTAGTGTACTTTAATAGTCGTGATCTATTCAGAAATACGCGTAAAAAATGTCTTATTTTTGGCCTCAGAAAGGGTCTTATAAGTCATTATGTAATCCCCCGAACGAAGTTCGTGGGGATATTATGGTTTTGGCATCGTCGCGCCGCCGCTGCAGAGATTTCGTTGTGAAGCTCTACGGCTGCAGTTCTTCTCGGATCATCTTCAAATTCGGCATGAAGGTGCGTTTATCGTAAAGCGAAGACGCCAATCGTTTTTGGTGTGGGCGGAGTCATCGTTGCCATGGTAAAACATTTTTTGTCGAAATATTCTAGAACCTGTAACTTCTGCACTTTTGCCGATGTATAAAATTTTGATTATTTACATTTGTATTAAAATTTAAATTAAAATTTATATTAAAATTTAAATTTAAAAATTTAAAATTTAAATTTAAATTTAATATTGTGTATTAAAATTTGTATTTAAATTTATATTAAATTTATGATTGTCATCAAATATATATATAATATGGGACATTGTTTATCGGCCCTGTGTGGCACAATTCCATGACAATCGCGTAAAACAGCACAAGTTACAGGTTCTACAACATTTCCACAAAAATGTTGTTACCGATGGCAACGATGACTACCGCCCACACCAAAAACGCGATGCGTCTTGCGCTTTACATAACGCACCTTCATGCCAAATTGAAGATCATCCGAGATCGGGTAAAAAACTGCCCACCAGGTCCACTGCGACCTTTATTTCACTTTACCTTGACCTTGATATATTTCTCTCGCCTCTCTAACTCAGCCCCTAATTGACCTAGCGGCGACAAACTTGGTATCTTACACATCTTGGGGAGGTCTGTCGATACAAAAACCACCACTGCCCTTGACCTTAGTTTGACCTCAGCCGTCGACTTACATTTCCTCTTCGGCCTCCTAGGGTAACCAGATTCCATACTTCTTGCACATGCTGAGGCAGCACGCAGTTGTCATAACAAACTTTTGTCTTGTGATTATTTAAGC